TGATAGCATTATTATTAGTATTATTTTTAATAATACTCTTCTGCTTCTTATTCCTCTTATTGTTTTTTTTGTTGACTGTGTTTGTTGTTGTTGCTGTTGCTGTTGCCGTTGCTGTTGCTGTTGCTGTGGTGGTGGTGGTGGTGGTGGTGGTGGTGGTGTGTTGGTTCCTGTTGCTGTGGCTATGCAGTGTCCGATGCTCTCGGACAAGCAAAACACACGCATTGCCGCAAGTGCCCAATCTTTCCGTAGCTTGGACACTTCTTTCGATGAGGCTCGCGAATCTTAGCAGTTGCTCGGCGGCAGGTACGGCCTGTTCAGGTTCAGAGGGAAAGTCAGTATCATTGTCATAGTTATAATTTATATATAAGTTGTAATAGCAGACAGAGTGCTAACGCCGCACTATTAGAGCCATATTAGTAAGCTAGCATCTTCATCGTCGTCGTCGTCGTCGGTATCATCGTGCTTGTTACGACAAGCTGTATTGAGTCGTCAGTCGCGGGGGTATCTGGTACCAGATATCGAAAGTGAGTGAAGGATGGCAGGTATTAGCTGCAGGCTGCAGTGTTGAAAATTGAATAGATGACTGCCGTCGCAGCTGCACCAGCACCACAACAGTCACCACAGTGCAACTGTACGAGCCAGCAACAGCCACACCAATGCAACAACTTCGTCACCAGCACCCGCAGCGACAACAGTGCAACAATGGCAGCAGCGGCACAAGCAATACAAACCCGAGCATCAGTGGCATTATCGCCGACATCAGCATGAAGCCTGACAGCCGGCACAGCCTTTGCTGCCGACGTCGCCAGGATAGCAACGACCAGCACCAGCACCAGCACCAGCACCAGCAGCAGCAGCAGCAGCAGCAGCAGCAGCACCAACAGCAGCACCAGCACAACAACACATGATCTGTTGCTGTGATGTACCCTGAGGGATTAATGCCGCTAGCGGCACAAAGAAGCAGGAAAGGAAGAATTGCATTTTATCCAGCGTTTGTTTTCTAAGCCTTTGTTTCTACTGGCATGGCGTCATTCTGAGTCTGGAAGTTGTCGCTCGTGTTGACAGAGAACGTCATGACGATAATAAGGACCTGGGAACACTCGTGTGCGATTATCGTCAGGATGGTAATAGTTACGGTCACGCAGGCCCCACAGCAGTTTCACAGAAGTAAGGGGCGGAAACCGTATTCTGAAGGTTTCAGGACATTCTCACCATCTGATTTTTCGACATGAACGTTTTTACCAGTACTATTGCTGGTCGAATTTGATCTGATTTCCGGGCTGCCTGGCCAACCATGCAACAAGCCTGACACAAGTCCATGCAGAATGTTGTTGACGGAATGTCATTCTTGAAATTTGAAGGCAAAAATAAAGAATATGAACATGCTTCGCATGATGCGGCTGCTTTCCAATTCCAATCACAGTCACAGTTCTTTGGACATCGTTAAACGAGGCCGTCAATAGCGCGTTCTCATATCTATGCTCAGCCAGAGAGCTTCTGCTGTGTTCCCATGCGTGCACAGCTGTTGGCGAGTGCGTTCAAGTGCATCCAGTGCTAGAGGTACATCAGATCGGGGGAACCGTAGTTCGCACTTCGTTAGACATCCCCTGCAATCGGACCCTTTCCTGTACTTGTAATTATACTGTACCCTTATATGAACCCGTTAAAATCTCGGGCAAGATTCTGTAAGACCCTGTAAAGCAATAGCCGAGGAGACAACTGCTGCTGCACTGCTGTCCGAGCGGACTCGACCTCCATCGCCGTGCCGGCAGGCCACAGGAAGGGCTTGTTCAGGGCTTTGGGGTATGGGGTTTAGTGGTTAAGCAGTTTAGGGTTGAAGGGTTCGGGCTAGGGTGTTAGGTTATGCAACGATGAGAAGCCCTAAACTACAGCCAGAAGCACCATTCCAGATCCTGTACCACTTAACTGAATCTGGCACTTGCGGACACACACATGTCCATGCTTCAACCGCAAGAGCCGCACTGCTGCAGAGCAAGTAGAAGCAGTGTGCCACAACCACGACCCCTGTTCGAAGGGCTTCCTTGGGCTCCGTTTTGAAGGATCTTAGACTGCTGCACAGCTCTTTTGGGGTGCTGCGGCGACTGGCCTGTTTCTTCGATGGCTTCTTGTTTTTTCGTTCTTTAAGTCTTCGAGACGGCGTGAACAACAGCAAATTGTAGCTGCCGCTACCTTATTCTCCGAAACTGTTTGCCAACGGTTCCAGAACAGATAGAGAGTTCACTTCCGGAGAGACCGGAAGGGTCGGGAAATGATCCCGAGCTTCCGATTCTGAAATTTAGGATCCGAAAGACCAAAGTCCTGCAAGAAAGCCGAAAGATGCACCAAACTCTCCTGCTGAGTGTAGATGCTGTTTCCCAGCACAGAGCCCCTAAGCCGTTCATGGTTGACATCCTTCCCCGTCACCCGCGACATTATCATCGCTATGGCGCTGGGCCTCGGATCCCTAAACCCGAACCTGTGAACGCTAATCCCTAAAACCCCAACCCCAATCCCTGATCCTTAAATCTGGACTTTGGGATGCCGGGACCCGGAGTGAGTGAACTGGGCTGTATGTAGTCTGCGAAGTGAAGTATCTCGAGGCATGGCATTGAAAGCACCCACTTGGCAACAACTGTGAGGGTGTCGGCCTCTCTTGCAGCTTGTGTTGCGGGAGATTCCTTTGGAAGTTGAACCGGAATCCAAGCACTCAAAGCCTGAACCCAAGACCTCCCATCCCCGAGCAGAGCCTTTGGACGTGGTTAGGATGTTTAGGCAGTTCATTCTACATCTGTGGGCTGCTTTTTTGTGGAGGTTGGGACGAGGGTGGGCTTAATTCTGGGCCTCTGCGCTTAGCCCTAAGAAAGCTGAAGCCCTGGACTTGTAGCTAAAGTCTCTCGGTTCATCCCTCTTGTATCCGAATATCCTTGGCTATGTAAGCCTGCGTGTCAGATGATCCGACGCGGCTTAGACGACATCTTAGAGCTTGGGGCATCTGGTCAAGCGTTGTCTGAATTCCCGGCTCCTTCTTGAGATGGCTCGAATCGAATCGAATTGAAGAGGTTCGACACCTCCGACAGCGTTCCCACCAAGAACTTATCCAGTAACCCTTTGACGTCAAATGCCAGTGCAGTGCAGCACGGCCGTGAGCTTTGAAGAGTAATTGGTATGCGGAGGACTCCTTCAGGAACTCAAGCCACAAGAAACAAGTCTGGCGCGTCGAAGGAATCGGAAAGTACGAAGAGCATGGATGCACAGCGGCAAAATGCCAAAATCAAAGCCTGGAGTTGGCAAGTGCCCGACCCGGCTTGGACCATGCACAAATTGTATGGAACGTGAGTGTCCCATCGAACTCGCGATTGAGCTGGTGACATGTGCGGCAAGTTTCAGCGGCTCTAGCAGCAAAGTCAGCTCGACTCCTTCAGCAGCTGTGACGTTGAGTGGTGTCCTAGAAGATCCTGGCAAAGACCCGTCCCTGCTATAGTACCGGAACCACGATTTGCAAACGAATGTGTCTGCGCTCGAACTCGCACTCAATCACCAAAGCTGGTGCTGCCTTCAGACGACTCAAACCTCGGTTGAGGTGCAGGGAATACGGTTGTTGTAGAAGGGTTAGTGGCCGCCGCCAACACCGCCTTGCTTCGGCCAATCGTAGCTTTAATTGCAAGACTAAGAGTGTCCAACATCTTCACGGATGGGAAGTAGACATGGCACTGCGTGCTTGGGCGCATCCGGGCTTGCATTTGTGTTTGTATGGCCGATGCAACAAGGACAAAATAAGAATTAGCAGCTTGACTGAGAGACGGCAGTGGTGTCCTCTTTCACAACCGCCACGGAGTGGGGGCTTTCAGGTTAACTATTGCTCAGGGACCAGGGTTTAGGGTTTAGGGGTTGTAATTTCGCTGTCCAGTCCCGCAACTGCTCCGTCAGCAAGTAAGTTCAAGACCATGCTACCCTACCGTGTAGAGTCAGGCTGCCATAATTAATGGCGACCGAAACTCAACATCGAAGGCCCCTCAGCTGCTTAGAGCGCTGGCGCAGGCCGGGCTTTGCCTTGTCGTCCCTGCTTAGTTGGATGTATGGCACTTGATTGTGACTTCTGGTGTTTCCACTGTGTCGTGCGCAGGCGCATGCCCCGCCACGCTTGATCTGCATCGGCGGTTACAACTCGAACTGGAATAGGCCAGGTCGGTCAGTCTGACGTGACTGTATGCAGGGTCGCCTTGAGTAGCGACATTTGGCGATGGTCGGCAGATGAATGTTCAGCCCAAGGCAATCACCATGATCCGAGCCTGCAGAACCCGTTGTAGAGTTCAGGGGCAGATGCTGAGAACCGAACTATTGGAGATGACGATGAGGGAAAACAAGTTTCACAAGTAGGCACCGTCGTAGAGGGTTGAGGGCGAGGGATTGCAGGCTAAGCTGAAACAAGTGACTGAGTTGTGCCAGGCATGAGCCCGTGACACAAGACGCAGCAGCTCGACTGCCGAGGCTTTTGTTGGCCAGAGCCGGCAAGTAAGACATCCCTCCGTGCGTTTAGGTGGAGATGGGTTTTGCTGTCTGTGATTTGGTGTCATGGAAAATGTGAGTCCGGTTGAACGACCTCGCAGCGGCAGCTTGCAGAGCATGACCTCGTTGAGGCCTGGTTGCTTACTAAGACATCGTTTCTGTTTCACGAAGATGAAGATCTTGCAAAGACTTCGGCAGTTTTATCGGCCCGAGGGCAAACATGAGCGGCTGATGCCCACTTGCTCGATAAAGCCAAGGATGCCAACGGCTGCGAGACATCGGCAGAAGTAGTTTGTTCACTCACAGGCCAGTGTGGGAAGGGGGACAACCAAGCCAGCTTGGCTGCTGGAGCGACGAATGATGATGGAACGTCGCTTCGTACATGTATGATGCACAATATGGGGGGGTGGGTCTGGCAGCAGCTCATCTAGTGGCAGTTGCCTGTGGGGCCGAGTGGCACAGGTGACTCTGTCAGCAGTCGCTGGCGTTGCATGCTGCCCCCGATGCAGCATCATCGAGCTGACCTCGCTGCTCTTTGGCTAAGGGCTAAAGATCAGGGACACGGCAAACGAGAGAACCAGATTGCCACTGTTATGTTGATTTAGAGACGATGCTCATGGTGCTTGTGGTGATGATAGTGATAATCATGGCCCGTGGAGGATGAGGATGCGGATGACGATGAATATAGGATGGTGATTATGCTGTCACAGTTTGTATGACCGGGAAGTGTCGTCGTTATCGTGCTAACATAACTATATGTTTTCGATTTCCACTGGTATGGTCGTTCTCACCAACACCATTGTCACCACCATCATCATCATCATCAGCATCATCATCATCATCATCGGATGTGTTGTGCGTCCTGTTGCAGCTGCTGGTATTTTCATCTGCGGCGATACACGACTAAGCCTTCCGCTTCAAGAATCTGGTCTTGAGGTCATGGGTTCATCCAGAATAGGCCACCAGCCAGTTCTTGCGGTTTTGACGCTCTGCCGGAGACGTTCTGTGTCGCAAGACCTGGCCGTGCAGGATGGGCGAGGATGCATGTGCGAAGTATGGGGTCCTTCAGAAGGGACAGCAGGAAGCATGCGAACCACAACAAAGCCTTAATTCGGCAGAAGCTCCCCAATCTTGCCTCCCAAAGCCACTTCAAAGTAAACATCTTCTGCTCCTGCGAGGAAGTCTTGAGAGCTTGACTGGTTGGGCCGAAGCCCTGGACCCTGCCTAAAACAGCCAAAAACCCCCCCGGCCCCTACAGCGTCATTCCCCTAAGCTGGGATTAACCCTAGGCAGACTCCAAAGAGTTAAGACGAGGTTGCTTCAGGTGGCCTGGCCTCAACTACACTTTTCGCCTTGGGAGGCTCGCAGGTAGTTTGAGACGGGTGGGTTTAGGGTTTACGGGTTTAGGGTTTAGGGTGTTCGGAGTCTAGGATCTTTTCGAGCTTTCAAAGGTGAACGGTTGATGGCAGGTTTGATTTTTGCTTCTGGTTTAGAGCTTCCGGATCGAGGACTAGCCCCCTGACACCAGTTTAGGAGATCTCATGCAGGCTAAGATCCACGAGCATCTGAAGCTTTTGCTTCTCACCAGCCCATGCCTTTCTGTTTGTTTTGTTGGTTTGTGTGTGTAATAGGGGCCGAAATAATTACCAATACTATTGTGGGGGTTCCTTATTATCATTATAATTATCGTATGATATACCCCAGAACCCTATTCTAATTATTAAGGCCCGTATACAAAGGTTGCGTACTGCGTGCCTCTGGTACTGCGCTGCTAAACATGAAGCCTTGCAAGGGCGCCACGGGGAATCGAGACACGTCTCTGTCGAGAGGAAGCTTGGCCAAGAGTTTAGGTGGAATTCTCGGGGATGCATTCGGGTTTTCTGGTTTTCATGATTCAGATGTATCTTCCATGCATCCCTCATGGCCCATCATCCAGGAGACACCATCGAATGTTCAGATTTTTGCTTGCCCTAACAGGCCTTCAATCCAGCCCGAAGCCAGGTTGGGCATGTGAGTAACTTGACAAGGCTAGGACGTATGGTTGAATGTTCGGGGTACCCCGCAATTTGGGCACACTGCTAGCAGATCTTGGTTCCCGGTAAACAAGAAGTGCGCTGATCCAGGTCCCCAGCTTTTTTCAGGGAGTGCTGATGCCAGCGGATCACAAAACTCCGACCATACAAGGTTCTGACAGCATGTAGTCTTCTCATGACCTATCCCCCCCAAGCCAGAAATCCGCAATGTTAAACCCTTGAGTCCCAAGTGCGCCGTCATCAGGTTGGACCTCATCAGTTGGCAGCTCCGCGGCGAGGGCTGGCAACCAATGCGCGGCGCAAAGCTTCCGTGTTGTCGATGTGAACGTCACGCAGTATATACATATATATATCTATATCTATATCTATATCTGTATCTATATCTATATCTATATCTGTATATATATATATATGTGTGTGTATATAAATAAATAAATAAATATATATATATATATATATTAAATCTATGAACCGATACTCGTACAAGCAGGAAGACGACGCCGACGAATATGAATGAGGTCTACGAGCCTACTACTGCAGCAACAGCTACAGCAGCAGCAGCAACAGCAACATCAGCGACAACAACAGTCCCCCCCTCGCGACCCGACTCCTGCTCCTGCAATTCCTACTTTTCCTACTAGTCCTACTACTCCTACTCCTACTCATTCTCCTACTACTCCTCCTACTCTTCTTCCTCCTCCTCCTCCTACTACTACCACTGCTACCACTGCTGCTGCTGCTGTTACAACAACAACTACAACAACAACAACTACTACTACTACTACTACTACTGCTGCCACTACTAATACTAATCATAATACTGCTACTGCTAGTGCTACTGCTAAAGTTTAGAAGCACATGCAAGCTAATGCTAATGGTACTGCTGCATACTAATACGAAGATTAAGACGAAGATTAATACTAGTACAATACGAATACAATACCTTGATACGAATACCAATACTCGTACTCATACTGGTACTGAAATTAATGCCAACACCAGGACCAATTTAATACTGCTCAGATCTCACAAGAGCGTGTGCAAAACACAGCAAGCGTTTCTTTCCCGAGCCCACAATGTGTGCGGGTGTTGTACGCTTAAGCATCGACCTAAACCCGGGAAATGCATGGCTTTGACATGCAAGTGGCCACAACAAGAGTGAGTACAGATCAGCGGCACTATCAGTCTGCACGTCATTCGTGAAGTCAAAGCACCCCTCCAGCTGTAAAGCGGAATTAAAGCCCAATCGCTTGCGAATCAAGCTTATCATGATACTGTTGCTGATGGTTATATGCAAAGCTAAGACGACTCTTATACGAACACAAAATTCTGATACTCATTCGCATGCTAATACCAACACCAATACTGCATACTCATGTGAACAGTAATTCTGATGCGACTTTTGCTGCTACTGCTGCTCCTACTGCTGCTACTACTACTACTACTGCTACTACTACTACTACTACTACTACTACTGCTCCTGCTCCTGCTACTACTGCTACTGCTACGACTACGACTACGACGACGACGACTACTACTACTACGAGTACGAGTACTGCGCTGCGACTGCGACTGTCTGTACGGCTATGACTACGACGACGACTACCTCTTCATTTATTCCCTCCCTCCCGCTAATCCAACATGCGAGGTGACAGAGCTCTCCTGAGGGTTCCCATGTCCAAAGTACACAGCAACTCTGTGTCAAGGTCTGAGTCCAGCCCTATCTGGCCTGTGAGCATAGTCAGTATCCATCGATTGGCGTGTGCAAGGCCACCGATGCTGTTCGGCCGATCCGGGCTGGCCGCCTGGGGCACAGGAGTGGAGTGAGCCAGTAAAGCATTTGGGAAGGGGAGGGGGGGAGCATACTCGTTTTGCAAGCACAGACAGTCCCATGGAACGTTGTGAAATATGAAGTGCTTGAAAGTTTTCAATCGCCGTTTGGCACATGCGAGCTGTGACTTCCCCGCTCCCTTGTTTCTCAGGTTCGAAGGGTATGCACACTTTGTCAGAATGTGACGTGTCTTAACCGAATCAAACGGAAATCGGAGAACTGCTCTCGAGCATCTCCGAAAGCCTTGCCACTGCGGCCCAGGCAGCCGTCCTTGGCGACGGCCTCATCGTGGCCGGACTGATTTAAAGGGTTCCTCTCTGGGGGTTCTTTGAGTCTAGATCTCTATTATTCAGGGTTGACTTTCTGAAATTCCTATGTTGCCAAGTTGCCAGCGAGGAGAAGCCTCGTCAAGTGGTGCAGGGTGGGGCTGCAGCAACACGGGGTTCAGTCGGGCTTACTGTGTCTCCGTTGATCTCAGAGCCCAAACTAGTGCATAACTAGCTGCCGGGTCAGGTGGCTGTAGAGTTCCCAGTCCAGCTGCAACATGCTTCCACGCGAAAGTCTGCACAATGCCTTGGCCTTGTCATGCGAGTCGCCAAAATCCTTCCCATGTCCGCTCAGGTAGCAGGTGGCCGTGGGCACCATGGAGTACTAAGGCTCCGCCTTCTGCAACAAAGAGAAACAAGAGACTCATGCGAGTGCTGTTGTTGCTGGTATCACGATGATGACTCCTGTCCTTCAGGCTACGCTCTGAGAACAACAACTTGCGCTGGTGGACCTACTACCGCTACTGCTGCCGCCGCCGCTGCTGCTGCTTCCGCTGCGACTACTACTAATAGCCGCTACTGCTACGACTACGACCTACGACGACGACGACCATTATTGCCAATAACACCACTGCTACCAAAACTTCTACTAACTACTTCTTACCGCCACAGCTGCTGCTGTTGCTGCTGCTGCTGCTGCTGCTGTTACTGATACTGCTGCCGCTACCGCTACTGCTTCTGCTACTGCTACTGCGACGATTATGCATACTACGATGACTACAAAGTTCATCGATAAAGCATTGCGACGATGACGACGTAAAGAGACAGAGAAGAGCGAATTCATGATGTTTGTGGTGGCTTGCAGCATCATCTGTAAGTAGAACTATGGTGGTGATACTGCGGCTCATGGCGATTTCGCGGTTGTCGTTGTCGTTGATGGTGATGAGGATGGTTGTGGCGATGATGGCGATCATGATGTCAGTGGTACTGGCAGCAAGGATCAGGATGACGCTGTTTACGTTTTCTTCGTATCGTTTTCAACATGTAACAGTTTGTGTCTAGCCAGCCCATGCAATGCCTACGAACATCTTGTGTGCACCATGTGTTTCAACAATGGGCGTTTGCGCCTTTGCTATTTGAGCAGAACCGGTTGACAAGACACCGGTTGACACACCAATCCAGGGTGCACAATTCTTGATGCTCACATCTGCCGGTTGCCGCGTTCTCCGTTTGTGTTGGTTGAGAGCTGGTGGCCACGTGAGTCCCTCCACAAATTCCCTTACTAACCCAGGTCCTGAATGCCGTTTCATTGCCGAAATGCCAAACCTTAGTTCCTAAAGCTTTCAACCCCTTCTCACACCAGGGAGGTGGAATATTGCAGCTTTGCCGGTGAGAGCTTCACAGCCTTGCCGCCTTTGGCTGAACCACGCAGGGGCCTCAGAGGGCCGAAAGTCTCGAGTCGGGCCGGGCTCCATGTCGGGGTGAGGCTACAAGAAAGGAGAAGGTCCAGATGAGTCACTGTTCAGGCCTGTCTATCTATACATCAACCTATCTACCTAACTTTCTATCCTTATCTGTCCATCGATCTATCTATCTGTCTATCTCTCTCTCTCTCTATATATATATATAGGACACATCAATTCATATGCATATACATATCTAATATATAGCAGAGGGAATACAACAGCATGAATAAGCAATCGGATTTAGATTCACGTTGGCTTATACAGCATGCGCATATGTCAAAGTCAAGCACAGTCTCTTTCTATAGAGTAGAGGTAGAGGTGAAGGTAGAGGAAGGGGTTGAGGTAGAGGTAGAGTAGAGAAGAGCATTGCTTCGCTGCTTCATTGACGCATGTCGTAGATCAGAATGCAGCCTCCCTTCATACGGAGTACCACAGCAGACTGTACCATACAGTAGTACTGACGAACAACCTGATGCAGGCCACGACTATGACTGCCACGACGACAACCACTGCATTACTACTGCTGCTCCTGCTGCTGCTGCTGCTGCTGCTGCTATTGCTACTGCTACTACCACCACCACGACCGGGACCACACTGCCACTACAACAACAGCTACTGCTACTGCTACTGCTACTGCTACTGCTACTGCTACTGCTACTGCTACTGCTACTACTACTACTACTACTACCACCACCAACTACTACCTACTACTACCTACTACTACCTACTCCTACTCCTACTCCGACTCCTACTCCTACTCCTGATCCTACTGCTGCTGCTCCTGCTACTGCTACTACTACTACTACTACGACGACGACGACTCCAACTCCGACTCCGCCTCCGACTCCTACTCCTACTACTACTACTACTACTACTACTCCTGCTGCTGCTGCTCCTACTACTACTACTACTACTCCTCCTCTTACTACTACTACTACTATTACTACTACTACTACTACTACTACTACTACTAGTAGTTCTACTACTACCACTCCTGCTGCTGCTGCTGCTGCTGCTTCTGCTGCTGCTACTACTGCTACTACTAGTATCACCACACCACTACTTCAATTTCGACCTTGACTTGCTGCTGCTGCTACTGCTAGCCACCCCCATACCAACTACCTGGCGCCTAAACCCATCATCATCATTATCATCATTGGTATTGAACTACAACATCACGAAAGTAATGCAAATAGTGTTAAATGAATGTGCTCTAAAAAGGTCGTCATCGTGTCGTCCCTACCCCCACCCACCCCTCAACACTGGTGGGTGGTATTGGACTACGACATCACGAAAGCACTGTAAACACCGAGCAAAAAAAATGTGGTCTAAAAATGTGTTTAGGGGAGGTGGTTGGTAGGGGGGCGCGCCTACTACTGCTCCTCCTGCTGCTGCTGCTGTTGCTGCTGCTGCTGCTGCTGCTGCTATTGCTACTGCTACTGCCACCACCACAAGCGGAACCACGAGCACTACTGCTGCTACAAATACTATAAAGACAACAACAACAACTACTACTACTACTACCACCACCACATCTACTACTACTACTACTACTACTACTACTCCTCTTACTACTACTACTACTACTACTACTACTACTACTACTACTACTAGTACTACTAGTACTACTAGTACTACTACCACCACTACCACTACGACTACCACTACGACTACCACTGCGACTACCAC